GGGCTAAGTATTCCACAGACACAGTTCCTCAGTGCTAGTTAAAATGTTTTAAATAAGAGGCATAACATCCTGTACATTGTCAAATGAGCCTTAGGTGGTATGTATTAATTACCAGCTTCTTCTGGTCATTTCTAAATGTGCATGTTCAGACATGAGTTTTCGGAAGGAGTTTTTATTGGACATTCTAGGTAAGCGTCTGTACAGAATATCTGTGGTAATTGCTGTGTGTTACTTGGGATTCCCCTCTACTCGCTTACTCTCCCTCTCCATTGTTTGCAGGATGCTTCATTATCTGAATTTTCTCATGCCTATTTTAATAATCATGTCAGGAAAAGCATTTAGAATATAACACCCCAAATGGCTGTACAGTCATCCCCCACACTGTTGTATACTGGCAGGTTTCTTGTAGACACCTTATTTTCTGTATAAAACCTCTCCATATTTTTCTGTATAAAACCTCTCCATATTTTTCTGTATAAAAAAGCTCAAAGATGAACACTTCTGATTTCATTTGAAAATATTTTGCTTTTGTGTTCCTTGCTGTTTGAAAACATCCATTCTTAGTTTTTTATTGCATAAACATGTTTGGACATCAACAAATTCTTGAGAACCGTGTTACATATACATTTATATGCCTTTTTAAAAAAATTGAAAATATATTGAATTCATACTTTTCCTCCTCATTTAATTATTTACATATAGTCCACCTTTCTCACTGAGACTCAAGGTGTATTACACAATGTAAATCAGTGCAATCAGTAGGATGATATATCTAATAAGCGATGTAATAGGACTAGAAATTGCAGAAATTTGCAGCAGAACTGTTGACTGAACAAAGCATAAGTATTAGACATATTAAATATTAAACAGTGTAGAACATGGTATTGCATTAGTAGAAATACTGTGCATTCTCCTGGGCTAATCTGTTACTATATAGACCTGTTTCCTTTATAAAAATGCCTTCTTTAACTGTTCACAACTGGGGGGGGGGTACCTTACTGGAGTCCTGACACACCCTGGTTCTGTCCCATAGACTTCAGTGGGACTAAAATAGTTTATGCCTTAGTTAAGGAATGAGCTATGCATGGTAAAAGTTAAACCCTTTGGGAAGTACAGGGTTGGTGCTGGAACCGTTTGGCTATAAAACGCCCCTTTTTCCAAAGCAAAATCTCTACAGCAACTAAAGCCACTCACAGGGCCCTGGCTCCAGCTACACAGAAGCACAATGGCTGCATTGAGAGTAACTGCTGGGGAAGCCCTCCTTCCTTGACTACTCCGTAAATGCAGTTCTTTCTCTCTGAAAAACCCTGACATCAGCGTTCGGAAAAATCCAAGAACTTGTGTCATGGAACAGTGCTAAAGCACTTGCTTGGGCTGCTGAATGGCTGAATGGTGGCTGAAACTTTAGCAGCTAGGCATTTACACTCCCACCCTCTCTCTTCTCAGTCTGTCTCCAACTCTGTTGCTGAGATGGTGTTACCCTATGCATGCTTAAAGTTTGGCTTGGAATAATAACATAAGAACGGCATTGTTGTGAGTTACCAATAAAAAAGTTAAAATCACCTTGCTTCATTTTTAATACTGGGGGAGCTTTGACAAGCCTTGAGTGGCATAAAAAAGGCGGGGGTGGATTGTAGCAGGAACTGACGGACTGAGAGGAATTGAACACGGCACCTAAAGCTGCTATGTCTGCCTACAGGCTTGGCTTTAGTTTCCCCCAAAGCAGTGTAGTCTTATCATGCAATATGCATCTGTGGTAGAAACAGTACCACAATACATTGGTTACATCACATAGCATGGAACCGTGATACCCAAGGGACTGCCTTCTCTCATATACAAGTCTGAGCATTCATTGAGATTTTATAGGCAGTGTCCTTGCCTTCACAGATGATTTGGGTGGTAGGTGGAAACAGGGCCTTCTGGATTACCATTCCTAAGGAGGTGTACCTGGTGTCTATGCTGGTTTCTTTCAAACACATGTAGGGAAGGAAAAATCCAACAGTTTTACCATGGTTTTCCCCGTCTTCTCCTGCTGCTGTTTTGTATAGATATCTATTAGTGTTTAATAGTTGAGAATGGTTTTGTATTTTAGATTTTTTATTGTATTGTTCTATTGTGAGCCACTTTAGAGCACATATTTGGAAAGACTGGATACAACTCTCTTTAAATGAGCCAATAAAATAAATGGCAGTGGGTTACAGCCCAAATGAGTCAAAGTTATGTGAAAAGGCACAGCCCTGTCTACTACTGCAAGCATCCTCAACCATGCATGATAGGATTGGGTTTGCCATCATGACCATAGTTAGGGTTGCCAGCTCTGGGTTGGGAGATACCTGGAGATTTGGGGGGAGGAGCCTGAGGAGGGCAGGGTTTGGGGAAGGACTTCCCTGGGGTATATTGCCATAGAGTCCACCTTCCAAAGCGGCCATTTTCTCCAGGGGAACTGATTTCTGTCACCTGGAGATCAGTTGTAGTAGTGGGAGGTCTCCAGCTACCACCTGGGGGTTGGCAACCCTACCCATAGTGCTGGAGTTTCTGCTTTAGTGTTGCATTCCTCTTTCTTCAGGTTTCTTTTTTTACCTCTTCTCAGATAATCTCTAGAGAGTGTTCATCAGTAATCAGGTTTCCAAAATTGGTGGATCCAGATAGTTCAGAAGCAAATTGTTGCAGTAGTTAAGCTCCATATGGGGTATCTTTATTTTATTACATTTTCATGCCACCCCTCCTCTAATGAGTTCAAGTTGCTATACATGACAACTTCCTCCATGCACACACATTTAATTTGTAATTCCATCATGTTATATCTACCTTGACAGTCTATCTGCCATGTTAGTTTTCTGGGTAGTATTATTATGGCACACAGTGACAGTTGTTTTCACTGTAGCATGTGGACTGGTAAAAAATCTGTTAGTCTGCTGGTTTGGTGCTGTATTATCTAGTTGCTTGTCTTCAAAATTGAAGAGTGCTCTTGGTTACAGAGGAGCCCACATGAACAAATCCTTGATGTCCTTACTAGCTTAACACTTGAGTATACCTACTACTGTATCTGATAATTCTATGAAATCTGGAATCAGAAGATAAAATTCAGTGAAGGTTCAAGCTTCCTTAAGTAGCAAGCTTTTTATTTTCTCCTTTGAAGGTTGAAACTAGACTCATTTGTAGAATTGCCAGAAACCTAAAGCAAATAATACCACAAATGATTTTTTCATGAGTCACATTTTTGGGTGAGTCTGCTGCCCAGATCTCCTACTAATCATCAGTGTGTTGCTTTATGTAGTCAGTTTCATAAAGAGCACTAGCAGTGGGTGTCACTTGGCCACCTTCCTTAAGAGGTCACTTTCTGTGGTTTGCATTAAAAAAAACCCCCAGCAAAATAAATTGTCAGTATTTTGTGTTATACCGGAATTTCTTCAGAAAAGCAAAAGGGGAAAAAAGGACTGTAAGCACCTTGACATTCTAGTAAAAAAAGAACAGAGCATGTTAGGAGAAAACAACAAAATTGCCACAGAGCATACAGACTTTAATTTTCAATAAATTGTGTTCCTTGAAATGTGTACTTACTGTTCTTGGTATTGCAGTGCCATGAATGTTAAGTCTTACACTGTTCAGAATCTTGGTATTGCAGTGCCATGAATGTTAAGTAACTGGTTTGAGAAAAGGAAACTACAAAAAATGACGTACAGCTTTTAGTTCTGTTGAGTGGATATATTCAGGTTCTGTTTAGTTTAATGCCACAGTTTTGTTTGCTTTGTGGAATATCTCAAAACCACTGAAAAGGATTTTTAGGAAGGAAATCAGTGACTTGACAAGAGCAGGACATAGGTTCATCTCGGTTTTAATTTGGCTCTGAATACCAAGTTACAGTGTTTTAGATTGCAGGGCAGAAATCACACCTCATTAGATTTCTTCTCTGCAGTGAATGGGCCCAATCTGCATAGGACTGGGAGAGTTTCCTTGCAGTCTTGACCTCCTACATGCCCCGCTTCCATATACCCCCCCCCTTCAGAGACAAATAGGAGATTCTGGCTTGCAGCCCGTGGAGTTTCCGGGAATCTATTCCAGCATCCTTTTGGAACAGCTCTCCCCTTGACGCATGTGGCATTGTTTGTACACTGCCATTCTCAAGTAGAAACAGAGATGATAGTTTTGGAGTTTATTATTTAAAGCCACATTTAGTGTGGGTGGGTGCTTTTGTACCTCTGCAGGCTACAGAACAAGTATCTCTTCTGGAAGATGATCTTTTGCCATGGTGGGGGTCTGGGATGATAACATTATACACTGGTTCTAGTTAAATAAATCCTTTCAAAGTTGTCACAATTATTTAACTGTGCAGCAATGTTCTGTGGCTTGGGAAAATGTTACCTGTCTCCATAAGTACTTGGGTATAACCAAATGCAAGTTGACCAACTGATTTAATGTGCAATAAATATTTAAGTATCTTTTTAAATTTGTCCTTTAAAATGGCTAAAGAAAAGCTCTGAAGATACACTGTATTATTTGTTAAAAGCATTCTGTGTTGACATCTCTTGGCATATTTAGTGATTTACTTAATAGAGATGTTGAAGTGGTGACTTAAATGTGCTACTATTTTATTCTTTGGGTTCATTTTTCTAAATGTATTACGTGGATGCCTGCCTGTGATCACACATCAATGAATGCAGTATCTACAGGAAGTATTACTGTTTTCCAGGAGCAAAATACTGTGCTTTGGGCACTTAAATGCACAGCTCTACAGCAGAAACACTAGCTAGAGCAAAGATTTGTGGACAATTTGCAGGAAATTGAAAGCAAACGTTACATTTATGACACACAAAATAGATAGTGGGATAAAAGCTTTTGATCTTATTCCGTGGGAATTCAAACTACTTTTGTTTAGTATATGCAACAGTTGAAATGGAGGAAAGGAGAAACAATTATTAATAACAAATTGTGACTGGGAGTCCTTTTAAAGGCCTGTTACTCTTAAATATATTTATGGTATACTGTTTTTTCTTTTTCAGGTTTCCCCTCAAAAAACCTACAAGGTAAGTTCTTGAGAATCTGACTACTTGTACATGTCATAACCTAGATCATATTGGTCCTGGTACCACTTTTTGATTTGTTCCTAGAACTCATTGGCCAATAAGTAGCTTGTTTGTCAAAGTAAAATACAACACAAACTATATTAGGATTAGTAATGACTGCACCTCAATTTTCAAGAAGATTGCAGATAGTAGAAAATTTGGAAGTTGCCCTTTAGCTAGACACTAGTTACCATGTGGTTAAAGGGCACCATGTTTGGGGAGGGGGGGGATACGTTTGAAGGCATTGAAGGATCATTAATAGCGATTCATATCTTGTAAGGCCAATTCACGAGAACTGAAACGTATCTCAGTGTGCAGAGTTGTGACAGAGTCTGAAAGGATGGGAGCATTGAAGCTTCTCGTTATGAAAGGGCTAACAGTTAACAATAAATCAGATGTGTAAGTTAATTTTCCACTTGATATATAATTGATCTCAGTACACTTTCTAGCCTTTCTTCCCTGTAAATGTAGGAACTGGCATGTCTGGATAACAGCAGTTATACAGTGGGGTTTCTTTGGGTGGGGGTCCAAAGGATCCCAGGACATGTAATGCTTTTATTTTTCCATTCATTCCAGTGGGTGTTAACCAAACCTCAGTAATTTTTGTTCTTGTTGTTCAGTCGCACAGTCGAGTCCGACTCTTCGCGACCCCGTGGACCAGATCACGCCAGGCCTTCCGTTCCTCCGCCGTCCTCTGAAGTTTGCTCAACTTCATGTTCGTTGTATCTATGACACTGTCTAACCATCTCATCCTTTGCCGTCCCCATCTTCTTTGACCTTCAGTCTTTCCCAGCATCAGGAAATGGCAACCCACTCTCAGTAATATTCTGCTTCTAATGTTTCTAAAGTAAAAATGGTAGATAGTTGGGCACAACTGGACCAGTTATTCTTAAGGAATATATACAAATATTTTTTTCTACTATCCTATACAGCGGAAGACAGGAAGGCCTGGCGTGATCTGGTCCATGGGGTCGCGAAGAGTCGGACTCGACTGTATGACTGAACAACAACAAATACGGTTATACAGTACTTAAGAGTACTTCTCTCTTTTTTTGCTGTTGGGTTATTAGTAAAAAAAGAAATCTGTATGCTTGTTCAGATTTCTTAACAAAATTGTTTAAGAGTTATAATTTCTTAGGAGTCCTGACTGATATGTATGTGATTTACTCACGCTGGCTTTTCCTTCTGTTTGGCTTCAGGCATGGCAGCATTCTGAGCAGAGAGTCTCCAGCAGACAAGAAACAGAAGGTTGAGCGCTGCATCAGTGCCCACGACTTTGACCCTACAGGTAGAATCCTGTCAGCCTCCCACACAGAAGTCCAGTACTTCGTATCTAAGAGTTTTCTTAGAGTTAAAAAACCGTTGTCACATATTTTTAGTGGTGTAGTATTCAAAAGCTATCCCTGATCCTTCTCCGAACTAAAAGAGCGTAATACTTTCAGATACTCCTTTTTCACATGGTTTGCGTGTTATTCCCTGTTATGCTGTTCAGTTGTGTAAATCTGTTCTGGTACACTGATGAGTGGAATCTCTTGTGAAAGCAAATGTGACAGAGTATAGCTGATTTACTATCTTTTTTTAACTGCAGTGATAGGGCCATTGATAGTTATTTACTAAAATAGGCAGAGTACGTGTCCTCTGGACAAAAGGGAGTCATGTAGCTGTAGATTGTGGTCCCCTGGCAGGCTGGGGTGGGGTGCCAAGTATGGTCATTGTACACTTTGATAACTACCAGCCGCACAGGCAGTATGTTAACCTGTGCACAGATGCTGATTATTCTGAGAAGCAGGTCATGAGAGTGTTGGAGCCTAGGAGGCATAGCTCAAAGGACAGAGAGCCGAGAGGCTGTTTTGCAAAACCCTACAGTCTTTGTCTTCGTGGCATTTCCCTTTGCGCTTATGAGAAGGTCCTGTTGGGTAGACCTTCAGTGCAGTATCCTTTGTAGTATCTGATGCTGACTGCTAAGACATATTATCCAGCCCATCAGTTAAGATCCTCCTCATAAGCCCTGCACACCCATCTGAAGAAGTGAAGTGGATGATTACCATGGATGAGGCTGGTAGCACCTTGCCCTTGGAATGTCCTCTCCCTTGAAGTGCATCTACCCTCTATGTTGAAGTTCCTGTACACATCAGAGCAAAACATTTATTTTAATCCAGGCCTTTAACGGAGAGGTTCCCTTTTTTTAGCTTTTGTGGTCTGCTTTGTACCTGAGGACTGCTTTTTGACTCTCATTTTAGGCTGCTGAATGTTTTGTGCTGTTTTTATGCCCCTGTTTTTATGGCTTCTTTTTATGACATTGTTCTTGATTATTTGTATGTTGCTGTGTTTATGGTTTTATTGTGTCGTTTTTACTTTGAGCAACCTTGAACAAGTCTTTGGAGGGGCAGCATATACATTTTCAAAATGAGATCACAGGGCTGGTAAACTGCTGTACTTGGTACTCTGAGGAGCAGAGATGAAAAATGTGTAGCCCTTTGCGAACAAAATAACTTCTGTGTGCAGCCTTCCAGGGGAATTGGCATTTGACTGTTTTTATTTTCAAGAGTTGTAACTGGACACAACTGTTCACCTCCCCCCCCCCATATTTGTAGACCATCTGTGTTGCATACTAATATTGTCTTGGACTTCAGTCTGCATGTGAAGGTTCCACCCACTCCAACCTACTAACCCAGTGACTGCTGTGTGCTCCTAACTGTGTGACTGACTGGCTTGCGGGTGAGCCTCTTGGCCCCATGCTTTCCGTCTATGTACTGTGCCATTCTGTCTGTGATTCTCTAGGGTCATGGAACAGGTGAGAGTTGACCCCAAAGGCTGCGGACTGCAATATGCAAATATAAGGAATTATGAAGAAAAGTCAGACTCTCGTGTCTGAACCAAATTGTTGTTCCACCTCTTTGTTTGGTGAGATCCATTGGGTGGTGTATTTGTTTATTTATTTATTAAATTTATACCCTGCCCTCCCCCGTATTGGGCTGCACCTTGCAAGGCGGTGGGGTTCAGTCTGAAAAATGGAAACAGCAAAGGTCTGCTTTGCAGCTTGGATATGAGGAGAGGCCATAAATGCCACCATCCCTGTTCCTTAGGAGTGGGATGGGCTAGTAACGTAATAAATAGTTAGTACTTCCTTGTTATCCCTTTTAAAGGATTTATTTTCAAGCAGGCACAGTTACGCTAATGAATAAATATTTCTCTTCTCACCGGTGAATGTGAAACGTGTTAATCTGGATCTGCAGCATTCTGACCATGGGTATTTTAGGTCCCTTTGACCTTTCTATCCTAAGAAGTGCTAGTCTGCTCACAAAACCCCCTGTTGTGATTCCTTGGATATTCTAAGGATTTTGGAGAGCAGGGCTGGGGAAAAAATAATTCCTAGAGAGCCGGGTTCAAGACTTGTTGCATGTCTCTACTGGAGCAGTATTGGGGATAGGGTGTGTATGGACTGTTTCTTCCAGTGTAAGGCAACTCCCGTAGTCATTATTTATACAGCACAGTTCATGTACATGGTGCATGTTGAACATAAGGTGGTATAGGAAAGAGCTTAATCACGATGACTTCGTTCCCCCCCCCTTTGCTCACTAGCACTTTTACAGTGTATTGTTGCCTGTGTAGTTCCTCCCTTTGGTATTCACATCCTGATTTCCAAATAATATCACCTCTGTGTGACTCATTTCTCGTTTTTGTATGTTGCACGATTTAACCTGATTATACAAATCATTCTGTTTTATTTTATTTTTTTAAATTCCATGTTGGTCTCCATATTTCCTATATCTTTTTTTTTCTCCTTTTCTTCTGCTCTTGTGCAGATAGCTCCTCCAGGAAGACAAAGTATAGCTCAGAGGAGAGTAGATCCGAGACGTATGGTAAGCTTGACGCAGCCACTGCAGCCTCGTGCCTTGTTTCGGTGTGCTCCATACTGCTGCTCTGTGTGCCTCAGGCCTGTGCCCTTTACCTGCATGCCTGGCCAGCTCTGCTGCAGGGGAAAGGATGGAGCTTTTTAACGTGGCTTAAATGTGCAAGCTTGCAGCTGATGGTTACTAACCCGTGTGTAGCAAACGCTGGGTGTTTTCTGTGTTGTCTTCTGTTCCCTAATAGGAAAACTTACTTTGACCTGAGGTGACTGAGGAATCAGTGCCATCTAATATACAAGGCGTGGCATAGTGGTTAAGCGTGGCGGACTCTAATCTAGAAAACTCAGTTTGATTCCCCACTCCTCCTTCACATGAAGCCTGCTAAGGGAACTTGGGTCTGCTATGGTTCTCTTAGAAATCTCTCAGCACCACCTTCCTCACAAGGTTCCTGTTGTGGGGAGAGGAAGGGAAGGCAATGGTAGGTCGCTTTGAGACTCCTTAAGGTAGAGAAAAGCGGGGTATAAAAAACCCAACTCCTCATCTCTTCTTCTCTTCAGTAGCGTCACACACTTTGAGTTGTCGTGGACCTTACAGTATGTGTTACATATAGGAGAAAGTCTTGCCTTTTGTCTAAAGAAATGACTGAATCCTTTCACTTCCCTGTTCACTCACTGAGTTTCCCATGGTGGCTTCTCCATACCTTGCATAAGATGGAAAGCAAATTAGGGATGTAGAATATTAAATGCTTATTCAATGAAAAGGATTCATTTACTGTTTCTGTATGGCTGTAACTATTTAAACATTAAGAGTGCTCAGCAGGAGTGGATGTGCAGACATCCTTGCATGGATGCGAGTGCAAAGGTGGAGTTTGCCAAGGGAGGGGACTGGAGTTAGCCAAGGGGAGGGTGGGTGTCCCCTCCCCTCTCACTGTTAACTGCAGTGCGTGATTCTTGCATGTCCTGAAAATTACCTGTAGAATTACCAGTAGAAGCATTAGTTGACCAGGAAGAAGAGTGGACAAACACTTCTCAAGTTTTTAATAGAAAGTAGACACACACACCCCACAGTCACACTGTATGTTCTTTGGAGTAGGATGCTCTTCTGCCCATTGTACATTTTTAGTCTTGAAGATAGAGTGCGCCAGAAGGAGTAATTATCTTGGGAGCTTGTTAGTGTTTAAACAATAAACATTTTAAATCGGTTTAGCAGTTGGATTTAAACTGACTTACATCCCTAAAGCAAATTGCTTAGAGCTATTCAGCACAACATTGGGGGGGGGGGGGCTTTGATGGCTAAAAAAAATGCAAACTACTTTAAGTGCATAAAGTGCATTAAGTTAAAGTGCGTCAAGTTCACTCCGTACTTCTGTTTCATAAAATGATCTTCCCTGGATTTCTCTCTTGTCAGTATTCGTCCTGTGAATGATTGGGTTTAGTTTTAGAGTGATAAATCCCAACTATCAGGTTTGTGCATATCTGTATTCCCAGAAGTGTTTCCATAGGCTTTTTCCTGTAACTGCTCTTTCAAGGAAGAAAGGACTTGTTAGAGGCTATTTTTGCTCCATCAGACCCTTAAAACAGGATTTCTTTGCACATAGCATCCTAAAAAAGGTCTAAGTAATCTTGAATCTGGAGGTCACTTACTGGTCTATCACTTCGCCTTAGCACTTGAATTCTTTTCAAAAGGAACCCATCCTAGATTTTGTTTTTTCTTTTCAACGTGTATGCATTAAATGCTAGGAAGTGATCTCATGCTCTCCCTAGAAAAGCAGTGGATATTAAAAAAGAGGGGTCTGATCTTGTTTTGAATTCTGTGCTGGCCATTGGAACTTGTTGGTCTCTGCTATAGAATCCTCTCCACTGTTTTTCACATGTTAAAGTGCTCTATGGATGGACCGGGGCACTAATTAGCATTGAGTCTTCCAAGAGTTGTGTTTAAGTAAAATGTTCTTACTACATTATCAGAACCAATGTTCCCTCTAAGCTGTGGAGTCCTGTGAGCAAAAATTCTACTTTGTGAGCTACTGGCATTAAAGTTGTGAGCAGGTGATTTGGCTACTGCATAAATTAGTTTGCTCTGGAGCCGTCCTTCCTGAGCTAAGACAAAAATGTGTGAGCCGGAGGCTAAAAAACTGTGAGCTAGCTTACACTAACTCAGCTTAGAGGGAACACTGAATTCAGAACTGGACATATTTTCCAAGAGTATGAGCATTTTCAGGGCTAAATTCTTTGTTCAGAGCTCATTGCAAATACACATGGAAAATTATTCCGTGAGTGGTTCTATTTAGGGAAAGGACTTTTTCGTTTTGCATATGTTTATCCAGAAAAAGTAATAAGTGTATTACTTCCTTGAAGGTGACATATTAGCATTTTTGTCTGAGTGCCACCCAAAATCTCATGGTAGAAACTCCTCCCTGATATGGAGATTGGAAATCCCATTTCCATAAATGTTGCTGTGAAGACACTAAACTGTGTTGATTACGGGAAACGTGTTGTGTGCCTGTTGAGGATTATCTGTAGTTTGCTTCCTGTGCCTGTACTGTGTCCAGTTTTTCATGTATGAAAAAGTGAAACATTACTTCCTAACCCAAACACTTCACCCAAACTCTTTTGCTTCCTCTGATCCTTCCTGCAGAAGCTCTGTCTGTCTGCATTTAGGATTTATATGGGTACGTTTGCTTGGAAGTCTGTCCCTTTGCTTGCTCCTCCCTTCTTCCTACTGGCACTGGAACTTGGGTGGAAACACTTGGCAATGTTTGCTTTGGATGAAACCAAGCTACTTAAGAGCCTGCAAGCAGAAAATACTGTTCTTTGTATATTGCTGGTGATTGCAGTCTCTTAGTGCCTACCTTTAGACGTTAGTGAGGAAATACTTTGAAGTGGCAAAAGTGATTTGAGGTATGGCAGTTAGTTTTGAAGGTAAGAGCTGTTGAAATCCTTATTTGAAGGAGGAAGAAGTCCAGAGTCCTTCCTTGTTTATAAAGGAGATGCAAGTTAGGCAGGGAACATCATTCTAACATCTGCAAACAAACTGTTTCAAGGGTTTCTCTTCTTCATAAATCCTCTCAGCTTCTTAGTTATGTTTGTCCCCAAAAGACTAAACGTTCTTTGTCCCTGAATAAACCATTTTGTAATATGGCTGGATGCCTTTATTTACTTAGTTACTTCATCTATAGTCCACCTTTTTTTGCAGAGACTCAAGGTGGATTGCATAATTTTAAAACAATATTATGAAGTGCCATATAACACATACAGTCATTAAAGATGGATTACAGAATTAGCAAACAATGCAGAATGACCCTTTAATATGTACAGCAAGCAGTGCAATCAGTTTAAAAATTTCAGAACCACAAGATAAAACTGGAAAACAATGTGAAATATAGTCCAATACAAAAAACAGTGCAATTGAGAAAAAGTTCTCAGACATTACAACTACAGCTCTGTTCCCTTTAGAAAATTGCTGTCCTGAAGAATCCCATTTTACACATTCTGTGGAATGAGAGGTGTAATTCAATGTCTGACAATGTCAGGCCATTCCATAAGCTGGGAGTCACAACAGAGAATGTTTGGGCGCAGGGTGTTGATTGTACCCGTTTGCAGGGTAGTGATTTCATGAGGTTTTTCTCAGATAAATGAAGCTGCCCTTGAAAAGTAAGTCAGGAAAGATGCTCCCCCAGATATGTGGGTCCAAGGCCAGGAAGGGCTTTGCAGGCATTAACCAGTACCTTTAATTGAATTAATGGGTAACCATTGGAGCCACTGCAGAAGAGCTTTAGCGTGCCTACTGCGCCTGGCTCTCAATAGTAATCATTACATGCTTTCTACACCAAGCTGGAGTTTGCATCTTGGGGTGATTCTTACCATGGTCTCTGTCTCAAGATGTGTCACTTCAGGGATAGAGGTGATTCTAGGAAAGATGATTTCACACCTTGGGTGCTGACAAAAATAGTGATTTCTGTGCCACTTAAGGTTCAGCTACTTCAGGGAGTGAGGATGACTTGGTTGGGAAAAGAAAAACAAACACAGCAACTTTGTCTCTCTGGTTAGAACTTTTTAAATAGAGCTTTACATTCTGTTAGACACCATCAAGGTCACATTTGTGGTTCCTTGTCCTGGGAGGATTCTGTTCATGTAACTTCAGACATAACAGATTCTTGGTCCAGGTGGAATTGACTTATTTCGTACTGTGCCCGCCCACCCAGCCTTGCTTCCACTGCTGTCTTTCCTTCTTTTTCCTGAACATACCCCCCACCACAGCAGTTCCTATTGGGAACTTCCTTCATCCCAGCCTCTCTCCGGCTTCTCACCTATCCTGGGCCTTGAACTAAGGGGCAGTGCCAGTTCACACCATTTGCACACAGGCAGCAAGCTAGGACACCTCTCTGCCAAATTCCTCTTTCCCCTTGCAGTCTTTCTCCTTTCTTCCACCTTTCGATGAATATCTCCAACATTACGGCACCTACTGATTCTCCTGTCTCCAGATCTCGTCCTCATTCTCTTCTCTTCTCTTCTCTTCTCTTCTCTTCTCTTCTCTTCTCTTCTCTTCTCTTCTTTTATTAATTTGATTTTTACCCCGTCCTCCCCGCCAAGGCAGGCTCTGGGCGGCTTGCGTAAGAATAGCAATAAATAAAACAACAATATAAATATCAGTATAAAACACACAACATAGTTATCGAAAACAATTTACATAGTGATGGTGGTACAGCTGTGGTAAAGTGCATATGAAACATACATTCAGTGGTAAGTTCCACTATTGGCGGGCTCAGGCTGGAAATAATATTGGCACAGGACATAGATGATGAAATGCAGCTCCATGCCTGGTGGAAGAGCTCCGTTTTCACTGCCCTGCGGAACTGTGAAAGGTCCCTAGTCAGGGCAGGGCCCTAGTCTCTCTCGGAAGCTCATTCCACCAAGTTGGAAGAAAAAGTCCTGGTCCTGGTTGATGCCAGGGGCCAGACGATTTTGTGACCCTGACGTAGTGCTCTCTGGGGAACATGTGAGGAAAGGTGGTCCCTCAGGTAGGTAAGTCCCTGACCATAAAGGGCCTTAAAAGTGAACACCAGCTTCTCTTCTTTTCATCTTCATGCCTTCTTCTTCCTTTCTTTTTCTCTCTGGAATTGCCATTCCATCACCCAGAAAGCATCCACTCTCCATTGATCTTTTGAACACCAGCTTCTCTTCTCTTCATTTTCATGCCTTCTTCTTCCCTTCTCTTTCTCTCTGGAATTGCCATTCCATCACACAGAAAGCATCCACTCTCCATTGATCTTTTTCACTGCAGATCCCTGTAGCAAGTCACCCTTGCCAAATTCAGACTCTGCTCCTCTGCTGCTACATTCAGATGACACAGGAAGCTGCAATTCCGCTCCAGTTGGGCATGAATACAGTTTGTTGTTGTGGCTCTCGCTTCTCCTTCCTGGCATGCAGAGCATCACCGGACTCTTCCTGACTTCAGCAAGCTCCAACTCACTGTGATGTCTGAGTGCAGGCAACTCAGGGAATTGGAGTGTGATTCCTCCACACGAGCCAAAATCTTGCATGACATAAACCAGCCCCAGATTGAACTTCAGCTTGTCTAACTGAAGCACAGGCCGGGGGTGGATAGCAATTTCTTTCTGTAAGTCCTTACCTGTCAGTAGATAACCCTGTGCAAACAGAGACCAGGTCTGGTTGTGTGTGAACCTCATGTTGGGTATAGGGGACAGGTTAGGAAATCCTACTGGTCTCGCATCCACCTTACTTGCCAGCAGGCTTCCTGGCTGAGCTGACAGAGGTGGCCTCAGATTTGGTGTCGAAGACCTCAAAGGTGATTGTTCTTAGGAACTTCCGTACAGATGCGCTGAGGCTGTCTTGTCAGTTCAAGCTCAGGACTTCATAGCCACCACGACAGCCATGGGACTGTCTCAGGCTGTGATTGGCTCCACCCATGAAAAAGGACATGCACCGGATTTCTTTTCTGTGCTGCAGAGCAGCTTGCTTGTTGTGGGTGAAACACTGCACTGAAGGCTCATTTAAACTTACTGCCTCCTGCCTGCAGAGCTGGTGGACTTCTTATTGTAGTATTGATATAAGAATCTACCTTAAAATGAATCTACAGAACTAAATAATGCTAATTCCTATATATACTTTAGATATATCAATAGATTTAAATCATTCATGTATCTAGATTGATCAAAATCGATAGATAGATATGACTAATTTTGACTACAATTCAAAGCTGAGTATTTTCTTCAGATATATATCTGCAATATTTGTTTGAGAAAACTATAGCATTTATGCTTTTAAATCTTAAAAATATATCAAAATAGTGCAAGTTTCATCTTCTAAGCTCTAATGTATTTATTTTATTCATATGTCTCTTTCGATGCTCAGAACCCCTGAGGTAGCTAACAAACTAATATATGTGTGTGTGTGTGTGTGTGTGTGTGTGTATACACACACACACACACACACACACACACACATATATATATAAACAAATACATTGGGCAGGATGGAGGGTCAGCTAGGGTACATTAAACAAAAACAAAAAAGTCTTTACCTGCTGGCAGAAGATGGCATCAGGAGGAGACAGACAAGTTCCAGAGTTTTGGTGCCATAGCAGAGAAAGCCGTCTCCTGGGTTGCCCCCCACCTAATCTCAGAAGATGGGGCAGTGCCTCAGACCATGACCATAGTGGTTGGGTGGGTTTTAAGGGAGTAGGCAATCCTGCAGGTATGTTGGTCCCAAACCATATAAGGCTTTTAATGTCAACACCAGCATCTTATGCTCTTAAAGCTTAAATAACTGTAGTATTTTGATAAGTATATTTCTGGAGAAGAATCTGAACTAACGTGTACGAAGAAATGGAGCTGCCTGACCTCTGCAAGATAGTGAAATCAGGAAGGTTTTTGCTAGCAAGGTTAAGCTGAGGCCTTCCTCATAAAACTCTAATATTTGTCAGGCAAGTTTTAAAACAAGCTGAGTTTTTTAAATGGATCTTGTTCCTTTCCCCACGCCCTGCCCTTCAGCATCATCTTTTGAGGCAAGGCTTAGAGACACCTAGTCATGTCAAAGATTCAGAGAAAGCAGAGAGCAGCATTTGATACTGTAGTAGGCAGGTAATGCCACCCCTCTGGACCGGTCTTAGGTGACTCTATATCTTAGCAATATGATTGGTACCAAGAAGCCAAAGGACACTTTCATAATTTAGCCTCTTATGCAATGCTCCCTCTAAGCTGTGGAGTCTTGTGAGCAAAAGTTCCACTTTGTGAGCTACTGGCATTAAAATTGTGAGTGAGCGATTTGGCTACTGCATAAATTAGTTTGCTCTGGAGCCATCCTTCCTGAGCTAAGTCAAAAATGTGTGAGCCGGAGGCTAAAAAAAACTGTGAGCTAGCTCACACTAACTCAGCTTAGAGGGAACACTGCTCTTATATGAAGCTGGGTGTTTTTTTTCTGTGCCAGGAAAACACCCCTTTTTCATGGGTCCTCTTTTGGTGGTGGTTAAAACTGGATCAGAAAAAACACAAAATTACTTCAGGCCCCAGTGGTACCACCTCACTGATACTTGCAGAGTTGCTCATGTAGTTTGCTTTTCAGCAGCAATACTGTCACTCAGTGGACCCTGTTCCTAGTGGATCAGATTCTTGCATGTGACTAAAGGAATTAGAATGGCTTGAGGCCTACAGAAAGTTTCTTAATTAGAGAATGAGCCAAATGCCTCTGTTGCACTGAAGATCCGTTATGACTTGGACACCATTCCCATGAAATAAATGTCTAAGAAAAGAGGGTGTGTTATTTTTGTTGTCTTACCACGGAAGCTCAATAGTGCAACGTTAGAAAAAGAAACCTCTTGAAAACCAACCTTTTGTGTGCTGAATTCTTTAAAATTGTTTTTGAGCATGTTCTGGGCTAAATTTGCTGGGGATTTTATATTTTATTTTGGCATGATTTTAATTTGCACAGAGCACAGCTGCATTCTTCTGCGACCTAAGCGCACACCCTCGCGCACACAAGAAAATAGAAAAGAAACACCTTAAGAATATAGCGACCTAGTATTACTTGTCACTGTGCGCAGCTTACTTTGAACAGAAGCCAGTAACAACATTCTTGTTCACTTATAACCAGAGCTAGATTGTGGCTATTGTTTGTAGTATGATTGTAAACTACAGAAGTATCCCAATAACGTTTTAAAAATCTGTGTGCCTGTGGAATGGATGTCTCGTTAATGGTGGTAGCGTTTAACATTTTGATATCCATCTATAAAGTTTACAGTTCTTCAGGAGGGACATGTTTAAAAACGGTACATTACTCCCCAGTATATTGGTGTTGATACATTCAGTTATGGCACTTTGAACATGTATGACTGACTTCCACTCCTTAAGTACTCTGGTAGACTCTTGGTGGCCATTTGGTCAGTAATGGCAATGTCTTCTTGAAAACTCAAACCTGTGGGAACTGACCTTTCTGCCCAGCTTGAGAGAAGGGGATGGGATTTATGGCAAATGCTCTGCTCGAGGACAGGTATGTGGAGTGTGTCAGTAATTCTGCTCTCAAAGATGTTGTCTTAAAATGTGGCTGATCATCCAGAACACTCTACCTAGTTGTCATGTACCCCCGTGTCATGTGATCAGTACTGCAAGCATGACCTGCTCTAGTAGTGTTCCTTGCTTCTGGCCTATTTCTTTTTGTGCGCCTATCCTGCAATTACCACACAGCTTCTGTTCTGCCAGTTGTGATCTGTTATGTTCTAGCAGGATGAGGCCATGGTGTGATGCCTACACCCCTCTCCTTCTCTTGTTTTTCCTGCCCCCTTACAGGTCTTGTTCAGCGTTGTGTCATTATCCAACGGGATGAAAATGGATTTGGGCTGACGGTCAGTGGAGACAATCCGGTATTTGTGCAGTCAGTCAAAGAAGGTGAGTAGGCTTGCTAACGGCATTCTGCCGTTTCAAGTGGTACAGTTTACATACGGCGCGTGTTACAGAAAGATGCGTTTAATCTATTTCTGCATGTGATGTGAGAGAACACTGCAGAGTGCTAAATTTGTCCCTGATCCTCAGCATCACAGTTTCATGGCTCAGCCCACATGAAATAATGCACTTCATTGCACACCAGTTTGGTGTAGTGGTTAAGTGCATGGACTCTAGTCTGGGAGAACCGGGTTTGATTCCCCACTCCTCCACTTGCACCTGCTGGTGTGACCTTGAGCAAGCCACAGTTCTGTCAGAGCTGTTCTCTCAAGGGCAGTCCTCCAAAGAGCTCTCTCAGCCCCACCTACCTCACAGGGTGTCTGTTGTGGGGAGGAGAAGGGAAAGGATTTTGTAAGCCGCTCTGAGACTCCCTTGGGTAGTGAAGGGCGGGGTATAAATCCAATATCTTCCTCTTCTTCTTCTTCTTCTTCTACATTGCACTTGATGGGGTGCGAGGAGACGTGATGCATTATATATAGCCAGGCTGCAGTTGAAACCGATGAAGCAGCACTAAAAGCCATTTCTTATGAGAGGGGTTTTTTTTACTGTTTGAGAAATGCTAACCAAGTACTAAATAGTGTGCCGTGCACGGTAGATTTTTTTGTTTTATTTATTTATTTACATTATTTATAGTTCACCTTTCTCTCAGGGACTCAAGGTGAATTCAGGTGGGTAGCCATGTTGGTGTGAAGCAACAGAGCAAAGTTTGAGTCCAGTGGCACCTTTAAAACCTACAAAGTTTAATTCTGGGTATCAGCTTTCATGTGCAGGCACACGAATTACCCAGAATTAAACTTCATTAGTCTTAAAGGGTACCACAGGACTCAAACATTTGACTCAAGGCGGATTACACATAGTGAGTCTGCACAATTGACAAATGGGACATCTAGTAACCAGTATGTGTGGATTTTAAAAGTCTGGAATGACCAGTGATAGGGAACGAGCGTACATTTTTTTTCCTTCACTCCATAACCCACCCTCTCCTCAACATAAATATGTTCAGGGGAAATTGGGTTCCAGCTTACATGCATTTTTAAATGATAGCTGTGAAAGTTGGCATTTACTTTCTACCTGACAGACAGTGCAAATATCATCAGATATCTGATCAAGTGTGCGTGCACATGAATACTTATACCCAGAATTAAACGTTCTTGGGCTTAAAGGTGCCACTGGATTCAAACTTTGTTCCGTTGCTTCAGACCAACACAGCTACTCACCTGAATCTGACTTCAGACAGTTATTCTCTCTTAGCCTGATGTCCATCACAGGTTTATTTTGAGGACAAAATTGGAGGGAGGGAACCATAAACACTATCCTGAGCACTTTGTAGAAAAGGCAGGATTTTTTAAAAAGCAGTAAATAGTTGGGCTTGTAGCTGTTACAACCTGTGTGCTAAGAGTAATATTCCCTTGCTGGATTGCTTGACTAGATAGCTGTTCAGCTCCAAAGACTGCCCTGATCAGAAGTTTTTTCATCATCTGAGCGATGCCAGTAGTTGCTTTGTAAAGCTCTCGGGTTCAGATTGGGTCACTTGCCTTAAGTACCTAGGGCCTTGGAATCTTATAGATACTTGTGAGCTAGGTTACACAGGGGTGACTTCTGTAAGATAGGAGAAAGACTTCTGTGGGTGTCAGTTGATGTATCTGCTTAGCAAACCACCCCCTTATTAGTTTGGTGCATTAGCCCCAAGGTGGAAGTATGGTAAGTCTCCCTTGAGGACTTCCTGCAGTGTAGGCTCTGTGTCCTGTGCTGGTCTTGAAGTTGATCTGTCTATGATGTGGAGAAGCAGGAATACTTGAGAGACCAGCAAGGTCCACAGCAGCCAGTCCTAGTGGGGAGCGGCACAGAGCATGTTCTGTTTGCTGGAGTTTGGCCCTTGCATAACCTGAAAGGGAAGGTTTATTTTCCTTGGAGTCCAGAACAGAAAAATGCAGAAAATAAAAATTGGTTGAATTCCTAAGTGGCTGGTTCTTCCCTTCTTTAGATGGGGCAGCCATGCGGGCTGGAGTCCAAACTGGTGACCGAATCATCAAGGTAGGAACACGCGATGTCGTCAGAAGATTAAATTGCTGTTGGCGAGAGACAGGAATGCTTGAGTGGTCCCCATCAGTACAACAGCGTTTTGCCAAAAGTTACCTCTCAGGAACATTTGAGGCACTGTGCATTTTCCTATATTTAGAACTGGCAGTAAGCAGGAGACGTCCTGTTGCCAGACGCTTGCTTTTTTGTGGGAAGCACTCCAGTTTCATAACCTTGCTTTGTAAAGCTGATGCACGTCGCACAAGGTTTCAATTTCAAGTCTGCTAAAAGGCCCATAACTGTAAGCGTTGGGATGGGTGGGGGAAGAGGGAGCCAGAACTTCTGCTTCATGACTGAGCATTGGGATTCACTTCAGCTTTTCAAACAGCTCTTAGGCAGTTTCACAAACAAGTAGTGTAGGTATTGGGTTGAAAAAATAACATACAAAGGATACTTCCAAACGTTTTTGCTGTCGTCACATGAAAAGTCTGATCTCTGTGCTTAAGGAGTTTTTGCAAGGCTGGTGAGATCCTTAGTCTTTTTGTCTAGTGTGAAGAATAGGACCTTTTGAAGAACATCCTCTTGAAGAATGTGGGAGAAGTGAAACCAGTACTTTGAAGGGCAGAGATAGTTCATGTCACTTGCCTAGAGTAAAATTGATGAACCTGTTTTCTTTGCTTAGGTGAATGGGACTCTGGTAACACACTCAAACCATTTGGAGGTGGTGAAGCTGATAAAGTGTGAGTAAATTCCCTGCGACTATTTTAAATCCCAGTAGAGCCCTTGAGATGTGCGTGGATTGAGTGGTGGAAGTTTGAATTGCTCCTATGCAGTCAGGAGGCAAGTCAGTAATTGGATTTTAACCATGCTGTTGATCTATTACCTGTCGAAAGGCCTTGAGGTGCATTCAAGTACAATGTAAAATGGTATCTGCAGTAATTTGGAGAGGCCTGAAAGATGCTGGGGAGGACTGAACATATTTTCATTAGTGTACAATCTCCACTCATGTTTTGTAGCCACAGTTTGAGAAAACTGGGTTGCTTATCAATCAGTCCTTCAAACTTACTCTTCCCATCTCCCTGAGTTTTATTATTCAGTCAATGTGAAGGCTATGTTTCTAACCGACATCATGTGCTTCACTAAAGCTGATGCTTGTTGAATGATAGGCTGACACATGTCATCTTTAAAGAAATAAAAGTAATGATTTGGTGCAAGGCAAACTTGTGCTTTCATCTCTCCTTGTTGTTTACTACTTCATGTGCCCATCACACTGGCAAAGCCCTTCAGTATGATCACTCAAAGAATAACCGTTACCAGTAAGCAACCTGTTTTTACTATGCCAATGATGCAATTGTATGCTGGGTGAGTACTTGGCACATGTCAAATCCTGCAGTGGAGCCATTCCCTCTGACAACACTGCAGTGACGGGTGCGTCCTCAGTTGAAAGCCTTCCTGTGGGGAGTGAATTCAAGAGAACATGCAGTGTGCTTTCCCCCCATGATTCCTAAAATATACATTAAGAACTCTTGTCAATATCTAATGATGGTCCCATTCACACGGAGAAGTTGCCGCGTTAAAGACACGGATGATAGGTGGATTTTCGGTGCGTGACATCTGGGAAGCGTAGTTCACCCGTGGCTTCCTGCCGAAGATGCGGAGTAAAAAACTACCACATACAATGTACTAGTTTCCGGAAAACGCAGGGCAAGGGCGGGCGTCTGATCGCGTTTCCGCTTGAATCCCATGGCATCCGGCGCCCGTCCATGTCCCGTCGCAAACTGGATTTTTTTTTAAAGTCTCCACAGGATGCGCTTGCTCAATCATGCGCATGCGCAAACTTCAGTGAGAAAAAAATTCCCGTTTGCCACAGAAGCAGTGCCTAGCGATTGCCAGTGTGATTGCGCTGCTTCTTTGCCGCGCTTCAGGATAGCCGTGTGATCGGCACCTACCGGCGTAACCACGGGAACTCCACGGGACGTATGATTGGGCTGCCACGCTTTACTTTGCTCCGGGGCAAACAGCCACGCCTCACCCCCGCGTTATCTGGCCCGTGTGACCGGGGCCGATGAAAGTTTTCTGACTTCTTGCCATTGTTTTCCCATATAGTGAAGTTTATAACTGTGACAAGTTTTGAGGACTGAGGAACTGGTTTTCTGACAGGGCCTCCTGTCTAGTTAGTTTGGTGGTGTAGTGTTTAGGAGCACGGACTCTAATCTGGGAGAACCGGGTTTGATTCTGCACTCCTCCACATGCAGCTGCTGGTGAGACCTTGGGTCAGTCACAAGTTTTTTCAGAGCTGTTCTCTCAAGGGCAGTTCTTGTGAGAGCTCTCTCAGCCCCACCTACCTCACAGGGTGTCTGTTGTGGGAAGGGAAAGGGAAAAAAGAATGTAAGCCGCTCTGAGACTCCTTCGGATAGCACAGGGCAGGGTATAAATCCAGTCTCCTCTTCTTCTTCAACCTGAGTTGGAGGGGGAGGAAAAAACTAATAGGATTTTGTCTTCTCTCTGCAGCGGGTTCCTATGTAGCTCTCACTGTGCAAGGGCGCCCACCCGGGTCGCCCCAGATTCTGTTGGCTGATTCTGAAATGGATCCAGCAGCCTGTGCATCCAGCAGCATGTCTCCTATCACAACATCTCCTCACTCACCAGGAGCATCTGGGAACACAGAGAGAATTACCAGCCCAGTGCTGATGGAGGTAAGGTCTAACAGGCTTTGGGGGGGAAAGGGGTTTGACTGTGTGATGAATTAAAAACAACAGCACATTTTTTAATAAAATGCAGCAGAATGTAATCAGAACACCTACACAAACCACACAACATGTCTAATTCACAAATTAAAAGCCAATAAAGGAAGAGAAAGTACACATTTATAGTTATGCCTTTCATAGCCGTTCATTTCTAACAGTGTAAGGATTTTTTCTAAATGCAGCCACTTGCTGCCAGTTTTCGTCACCTAAAATAGTCTTAGAATTTTTTATTTGCTGTTAGTTTGGCTATTGATAACAATTCCCATATCTTCACGAACCATTCTAATTTACCGGGCAATGTTGGTTGTGTCCCATACACCAGTCTGGTGTAGTGGTTAAGTGTGTGGACTCTAATCGGAGAACCGGGTTTGATTCCCCACTCCTCCACTTGCACCTGCTGGATGACCTTGGGCAAGCCATAGTTCTGGCACAGCTGTCCTTGAAAAAGATCAGTTTCTGTCAGAGCTCTCTCAGCCCCACCTACCTCACAGGGTGTCTGTTGTGGGGAGGGGAAGGGAAAGGGAAAGAAGTTCGTAAGCCACTCTGAAACTGCCTTGGGTAGTGAAGGGCGGGGTATAAATCCAATCTCTTCTTCTTCTAATGTGTGAATGCCATCCTCACATGGGTCAGAGCCTTTACTGGAATCAGTAGTTAAGATGTTGACACAATTTGAGAGATAAATTTCAGGCTTCAAATTAAGGACCAATCCCCATATCTCCAAAATTGTCTGTTGGATTGTTTTTCAATAAACTTCAGCCCTGGGGCATGTCCACCACGTATGAACATCATTTCAGAGGGTAGCCGTGCTGGTCTGCCGTAGAACAGCTGGACTGGAGTCCAGTAGCACCTTGGAGACTGACAAGATTTTGGAGGTATAAGCATTCGCGTGTCAAATCTCCCTTCATCAGATACAATATCTGACAAAGGGAGCTTTGACTCAAAAACTTCTACCCCAGAAATCTTACTGGTCTCTAAGGTGCCACCGGACTCAAATCTCACATATGAACGCAGTCTGCTTCTGGAGAGGTACAAGATGAGCACTTATTACTAGCTGAAAGAGGAAGTTTAAATAGTCTGTTTGGTGTTAGGTGCCACAGGTGTACCACTTTAAAACAACTCTTATTTATATGCTATGATAAGGAAACTCTGTTCCCTTATTTGTATGCTTTGTATGCAGCGAGCCAGACTAAAGTGGAGAATCCAGTCCAAAGCTGGCTAAACATGTAATAAACAGACTGGCATAAGAGACGCTAGATATATTCAACCGTCATGTCAGTATATTACTGATCTCAAAGTGTAACTGTAAATAACATTATTGTGACAGTAAATACAATTAATAAACACTCATGAAGTAATTGTGATTATTAAGATACATGAAGTTATTTTGATCGTTATAAAGTGTATGCAGTGAGGGCAAATCTCAGCTTCTATGTCTGCTAGTAAAACTAGATTTTTTTTCTGTTTCTGATCCAGACAATAACAAGGCTCATTTCATTTCAGAATATGGGTTTTCACTTTGACTTCAGACTTGCAATATTTACTTGTCTGATGTTATTGCAAGCTGTTCAGATTGTGTCTGTTCATATGTCTGACTTCAGACTTGCAATATTTACTTGTTTGATGTTATTACAAGCTGTTCAGATTGTGTCTGTTCATATTTGTGATAGTTTATCCATGACCAGATTGCATCTGTTGTATGAAAAACAACTTTTAATTTCTGGATAAGACATATAGGAGATTCTTGTTTCACTTCTCAAGCAAATGTCTTCATCTAGTACTACCTTACATCTTTTAATCAGATCAAAGTATCTTCCAAACTTACATTCTTCCAGCTTATTGAAATGCTTAGTGTCTCCCCCCCCCCCAGCTTACTGGTGATCAGGTCATAAGTCAAGAAGCAGATATCCATTGACCCACCCAAATCATTTCAGGACATGGCACAAGTGTTTATATGAAAGTCTGAGGAAGAGCAGGATTGGGATGATTGCCACTGATCTGGTCCACTAACTCAGAACTAAGTTTGAGTCCAGTGGCACCAACAAAGTTTTATTCACGGTATAAGTGTTCGTGTGCAAGCACACTTCCTCAGAATATGTATGAGAACTCAGAACTGTATGAGAAGAATTTGAATAGCATTGTATCCAGCCACAGATAACTTCTACACTGAGGATTAAGTGGAAAGGCAGATGCAATAGATGGGTGACTTCTAAGAAATGAAAATGTGCTGGCAAAGGAGATTGTCTTATATACAAACCTGCTTGGATATAGATGCTCCAAAAAACGTTTTAACACAGCGACTGATCTAGAATATCTTGTTGAAGATCTATTTAAGACTAGCCCAACCTTCCTTGCATGTAAAAGCTGTCTGTCTCCTCTTCTTTTTTCATCAGGAAGAAAACAATATTGTTCACAGCCAGAAAGTGGAGATTTTGAGGAAGATGTTGCAGAAGGAGCAGGAGCGATTACAGGTACCAAAAGGAGGATATTCAGGAAGGAAATGTGAGAAATGAACATCTGTCTCCCAGAGGGGCCGTTTAACATGGCAAAAATCTTGAGCTGTAAGCAACAATGCATGAAAGTTAGCCCTTGTGGAAATCACAGGAGCTTCCTTGTATTCTGAAGAGGATTCCGGGGGGAGTCTTCTGGAAGTGAATGCCATGTGCTTGACTGTTCTCAGGAACAATGTAAAGTATGCTTACCTTGAAGCATGGGCGGGGGGCAATGAGTGCAGTGGTTAGAGGCTTGGCCTAGGGAGTCCTGGATTCAAATCTCCACCCTGCAGTAAGCTTACCAAGTGGCCTTTGGCCAGTTGTGTGCACACAGCATCACCGGATTATTATGAGGATGAAATGAGATCACACTGATGTATGCTTCCTAAGTTCCCCTGGCGGAAGAGCTGGGGTATAAACAAGAATGGTAATCATCTCCTTAGCCTGGCTGTTGCACAAATTGGGCTTTTAGCAGCAGCATTTCTTTTTAGAGTCAGGCAGTGCAGAGGAACATTTTAACAGTCAGAGCTTTATTTACTGCTAACCAAGGTATACGTGTACCTTCATGTATCGAAATAACGGTTTGCATCTTGCATGGCATGGTTTCAGTGTTAAAAATGTTTAAAATAATTTTAACTCCAGTCTTCATGAGACTGAAGAGGGAGCCCTTGCCCAAAGAAAAAGAAGAAGAGTAGGGGTTTTTTACCCTGCTTTTCTCTACCTTAAGGAGTCTCAAAGCAGCTTACAATCTCCTTTCCCTTCCCCTCCCCACAACAGGCACTTTGGGAGGTAGGTGGGGCTGAGAGAGTTCTGTGAGAACTGTGACTGGCCCAAGGTCACCCAGCAGGCTTCACATGGAGGAGTGGGGAATCAAACCCTGTTCTCCAAATTAGAGTCCACCACTCTTAAGCACTACACCACACTGGCTCTCACCCAGTAGCTCAAGGATTATTGATGAACTTTTCTATCTCCCAACCAGTGTTCCCTCTAAGCTACTGATGAACTTTTCATAACTGGGGAGGAATTCTATCTCCCAGCTTGGGGCTTGGGGCTCTTTAGCTTGGAGAAACGACGGCTGAGGGGTGACATGATCGAGGTTTATAAGATTATGCATGGGATAGAGCAGGTAGAGAAAGAAGTCCTTTTCTCCCTTTCTCACAATACAAGAACT